TTCACATTGACTTAAATAATATGTTTAATGTAATATCTTATTCTACTTAATGCGAAATATATATATATATATATATATATATATATGGTCCATTTAAAAGGCTTTCCTATGTCATTAAAGATCAAAAGATTAAATCCCCATAACTAAACAAAGTAGGAATGTTTCATGGTATCACATTGTCATTAAGAGCAACATTAACAGTGCAACATTGCTCAAAAAGCTTAACCTCACTAGCATTGCTTTTATTTTCTCTTAACTATCAGAGTTTATAAAAAAAATTCAAAACAATATTTACATCTCACTTCAGGTTTGTTTCTACACGCAACGGGAGTAAAACATGGATATACCCTTTTATAAATTTCAAAGTAAGCAATTTGAACAATATTCTAGTTAAAGTTGGTTTAAGCCTGCATGTTTCTCAATGAAAATACTAACAAAACATTATTATTAACAAAAAATAAAAATTATGGGAGTCATATTTTTAATTTAGGCATAATTTTGATAAACTTTTAGAAAATTCTTATATATAGAAAGAAAAAATTAGTATAAAAAATAAATAAAAATTCTTTCATAAATTTTATGCTTATCTATTTTGTTAAAAAGTTAACTTCTCTAAAATTTGAAAAAATATTTTATTTTTAACTTATAAAAAGATTTATTTATTTTTTATATTAATTTTTTTTCTCCTATAAAGACTTTTTTTAAAAATTTATATCAACTGAGCCTCAGTGATTTTCTCACATAAATTTTTTAATTTTTAATTAATATAAGATAACGTGTTAGAGATTATTCTTAGCACTCAAACATGAGAGATAACAAGTGGCATTATTGGCAATTATTGCTGGGGTAACACAGTACACTCTGATTCATTTAGCAGATCTTCTGTTCCCCTTTAAATTTTGACTGTTATCTGAATGCTTCCACCAAGAAGTGCAATTTGTTAGCAAAAGGTAATTAGTAAAGGGAGCACCATCTATCACATTTTTCATCTGCTTTTTAGTGTTGGATTTCTCTCTGCCACTACAGGGAACCTAAATGATTTGATTTGTACTTTTGTCTCCAACACAAATATACTTGAAATCATGGTTCCATTTCTTTTGTAATTCCAGAAACTTGAACTAAATTACCCATGTTTTGCTGCCCTGAATCACAGAATCAGACAAGTTCTCTCGTGCGGTAAATTTTGGAGATGTTTTATGCTATATTTGGATTTGCCTTTGCAGTATACGCTAAAGCATGCTCAGATATTATAAACATCAAAAAATTTTGTTTGATTGTTTTTAATCAAACATGATTTTTTTTTATCTGAAATGCATGTTTGTTAAGAAGTTAAAAAATGTAAGTAAAATTTATTTCATAAAATCAAAATCATATCAAAAAAATTTTACAAGCATTCATACAAAGACAAGGTATAGTAATGTTATAATAAATTAAATGGTTTCTCTGTGATTCAAAAATAGGAGGTAATGAGTAATAAAAAAAATTAAAACTTGTATAGAATACTAACTTCTATTGCCCAATTTATTGTTGAAAATTTATAAGTAATAACTAATTGACTGAACTAAAACTGTTTGGTTAAACTAGTTATGTAAATATAATTAGTTAAAATGTGTTCAATGACTAAAAAGAGATGTTAGGATTCTTTTGTGTGAATATAAATTATTTAAAATATTAAGAGTAAAACAATTATTGGAATAGCTTCTAATGAGTCAAAATATACTTAAACTAGCTTCTTTTAAAGTAGTTTTTAAAAGTTATAAACTCTATATAAGTTTCATTTTCTTTTACTAATCACACAACTTTAATTTACTAATTTATTGACAAGAAAAACTATAAGTTTGATTTACCAAAGACAACCTTAATTTATCAATATTTTTTACCTCTATTTTCAATAATAAAAAAATAGTGTATTAATGCCTTAACTAAATACTCTTAGGTGACAGAACTCATAATTTAAAAAATATGTAATGCAATTCTTTAGAAACAAGAATGTGAAAAGTGAACACTAAAAATAAAAGCAACAATTGACCAGTTCTTCTGGACATCCTGGCCTACCTCATAAATGATTGATTTTAAACTATAACGGTATTAACACCATGTTTAATTGGTGAGAGTCATTTCTAGTGAATGAAAATGGAATCTTCATTTTAAATTTTTTTTTGAGTACAGAAATAAGAGGATCACTTTATTTTACTTTTATGCCTATACACTTTATTAACCAATAACTAACAAAGTAAAATTAATATATACTTTTTTAAAATTAAATAGAATTAACTCAACCTGATTTTATTCATTAAATTAATTTTATTAATAAAAGTGTACTAAAACCAAATCCATAAGTTTTCTCTACCAAATAAAATCCATTGCTTTCGTCCCTATTTTTATCCCATGCATTAGGTCAAAAAGATTCTGAAATTAATTAAGTAAAAGTTGATAAAGTACACCACTAAAGGTTTGTGTGTATTTGTGTTTCAACATGCATTCATTGAAAATCGCTATGGGAGATAATCAATTTTATTGGAAGTGAAAAGAAAAATTGCTATCATCTAACGTACATTAGATTTCGAGATAAAAGCATAATGATCATTTAATTTACACATTTCACGCTCGTGTCAACATGTTATTGGGCCATCTTTGAGTGTCTTTTCAAAAAATAGACATCATCATGTCAGTTTGAGGGTAAGGATTGAAGGGTAACTTGTTTGGATGTTTAATATTAAAAGAGAAGGATAATAAGAAGTTTAAATATATAAATGATATTATTATATTTATATTTATATTTTTTTTAAAAATAAAAATAAAAAAAGTATCCGATGATATGTTTTTAACACACTCCGAAAGAATATACAGCTCTAGATATATTGTGTGCCCCCTTCCGTTGGATCAGAAACGGTTATATTGAATTTTTCAATGGGTTTTCCTGGAACGGACCACACAAATAGAAGAAACTACCAAGTACATCATCATTCTAGAAGAATGATTAAGCAGTTTCATACAGGATTCAGTAAATGGTTTCATTCCTTATCAACATATTTAAAACGTGAAAGTTTGAAACCTATGTGACAATAGAAAGAAGCCTTTGCTCAAATCAAAGATTGAGATTTGGCAACAGAGCACAAATAGAGACTAAAGTCCTCACATTGAGTCCCAAACACAAGAATAAACTCGGACAGCAAGATACATCCTAGCTGCACATTTGTTCATGCCTAACAGATTGTAAACTCCAACTTTCCAAAACTAAAACTAATTATTGTATAAGTTATGCGAAAAAAAAAAAAACTAGATAATATTGGAACAAATTATAAAACATCACCCCATCCTCTAGAATAATTCCAAAATTTTTTATGAACAGACATCTTATAGTAGCTTTGCCATCAACCAGAAATCAGCGAGAAAAGCCTTGGACTAAAAGGATCAATCTAACTATTTTCCCAGCATAATGAAGTGAAAACACTGGATAATCAGATGTAAAGCTGAGAGAAATTAAATAAAAAAAAAAAATGATTGAAAATGAAAGAATACAAAGCAAATCTCTCTTGAGAAGAATGCTGACAACCTGACATTCATGAATTAAAATATAACCAAACGAGCAGTATCTCAATGCCAAGCTCAGGGAAAATATCCATAAAATAAAGAAAGTTTGAGGATGAACAGGAACTGCAAAGGATTCTCTTTGTTGCTGAGAAAACTAGGGAAACAATTAATAAGAGCAACAGATAGTGCCACAAGAAAAAGAGAGTTTGAGCACATAACACACCTAGGGTGGAAATCAATATCATCATTTAGCACCCAAGTCTTCTATGCCTGTTCGACAATTAGGTCAGGATCCTATAACACTAATCAATAGGAAACTAAAGAATACCTCCTACAAAGTAAACATCACACATATTCTGTAGTTAGTCAGATGTTCAGAAAGCCTTTAAGCTGTAAAATTAGATAAAACCAAGTAAACCCCAAGCATTTCTCCTTCTATGTTAGTTAGACGTCCAAAAATATATGCCTAATACTGAATTTGAGTCACAACTGTGATATCAAACTACACATAAAAACAAAATATAAGAAGCCTTATAATGCGGAGAAGTCAACTCAACTAAGATTAAGGTCAAGTATTGAAAGAGTGTTAGATGTCAAGTGTTAATCTGATGTACAGATACAAGATACTACAAATTGACATACATAAAGATAAAATTCATCAAACTCTTGTGACATAAGCATTAAGGGTATGTTTGTTTGCATTTTAAAAAGAGTTTTCTCTTTTTAAAATCTAAAAATACATGTATTTTATATTTTTGTGCAGTATGTCTCCATTTTGTTTTCTCACTATTTTGATTTCTCTGTGCATGTGTTCAGATAGGTACTCTCATGTTGTTCTTTCTTGCTGTATTTTCTTTTTTCTTTGATGGTCCTTGACTTGACTTTTGTTATTGATTTGTGCAATTAGCTTTAAGCTATGACTTCAGATAACTGATTATGATTGTCTTTAATTTGAAGTAATCTTTTATTATTTTTGAGCATTCATATATGCGGTAAAAATATTAATCAGTATCAACATAGTGGCCATACAGCTTTCTGCTATCTCACTATAGCAGTTTTGGAGTTGGCCATTCTGCTTTGCTATCCAAGCTTGGTAACTATGGTACTACAATAATATGCATACATACAGCTTTTGGATGGAAAAAGAATAACGGCAAAACTCATGGTCCATGCATCTTGCAGGCCAGGAATAGATATCCAAATAATATGTATGCCCAGGATAATTAAGCAGGCTCAATAAAAAGAAAGTAAAATCTTTGTGAACATATTGAATAACATTTTTCATTATACAACATTCAACAACCAAACATTAAACCTTATCCCACTAAGTGAGGTCAACTACACGGATCACATGAGACACCGACTAGATTAGTCAAAAACCAAAAGTTAAAAATATTATTAATCAAAAGATAACATTTTTTTTTATACAAAACAGAAAAAAATAAAGGGAACATAAATGAATAAGAACCACATTAACTTATAAAAGAAATTATAATACCATTCAACTATGGAATAATAATATACATTTTTCCATTTCCAGAGAAAAATAACCCTTTAGGAAAAGGACATATGAAAAAACAAAACTACAGATATACAGATAGCCAACACTATATACATCATCATTCCTACCCCCAGAGATGCATAAATCCAATAATTATAACATGTTTATAAACGGAAAGTAGGAAACACTAAACCATTAACATGATCCTTCCTGTGGTACACTTTAATTTGTTGAATATAAACTGAGTATTGACAGGAATTCATCTTGAGTATATCCAGAGCATGTAATATGGTATGAAACTTATTCCAAAACCACCACAACATGAAAACTAATTAAAAAAGACTTGTTCTCATCATCAGTTGGATATGAGACAAAGCAAACAGCTATTTACATGAACCGGAGCGTATAACCTGAACCAACAAGTCAAAATTGCATCTGTGCTGCAAGCTCCAACAGATCATGAGCAGCCCTCCGGACCTTCCTCTGCTCATAATCCGGATCATCCGTGGGCAACTCAAACCGACAAACAGGACACGTATTGCGAATACTCAACCACGGCAAAATGCAGTCTCCATGATAACAGTGCGAGCAGGGCAACCTCCGCACCTTCTCCGCAGACAAAATCTCATCTTTGCAAATGGCGCATGCCACATTCTTCCCCTGCAACTCCTCCTTCGTCAATTCCACCAAGGGGAGATTCTCCACAACACTTTTCGCAGCGGGAGGACTACCCTTCAAGGCACTCTCATTCTCAAGAAACTGCCCGAAAAGAACATCGTACTCAGCTGTGTATATATAACCATCTGGTACCGCTAAATACGAATCGGCATTGCCCTCGTGTTCAACCCCACCATTCCTCTCCAAATTGTTAACAGCCAAGAGAATTTCCCATTCAAGGTATCTCAACGCTTCTTCGCCAGGCTCCAACTCCTCATCGTCATCCTCGCCACCATTTGTAAACCCCGACGCCACCGATTGGCCGTCAATTTCAACCTCATCAACCACCACGCTCAAATCTCCCCTCTCATTCACCCTCTCCTCTACCTCCTCCCACTCAAAACCCTCATTCAGGGTCCTCTGATCCTCCAAACAGAGACTATCCCAACACAATCGAACATCGAAATCATCAAACCCACCCCCAGCCCTATCATCATCACCACCAACATCAACCTCACCTTCCTCGCTACTCGAATCCGAATCGGAACCGAACCCAACAACCCTAAGCCCACCCGAATTATCACCCACCGAAAAATTAAAAGCCCTATCTTCGTTATTTTGGGTATTGGTCCGAAACCCTAACCCTAATTCCCCGTTGTGAAGATCGCAAACGACCCCAGAAAAGGGGTTTATGTTAGTGTCGTGGCAGCAACAAGAGCGAGAACGGTCGGAAGAGCGAGTTTCAAAGAGATCGGTGACGAAGCAACTCACTGAGTCGGAATCGGAATCAGAATGAGTGGATGCGAAGGGATTTGAGGAATGATGAGACATGTTTCAAATCGAATTCAATACGATTCTGTGAATCTTTTTCTTCTTCTTTTTCTCTTTGTGTGTGTGTGTAGTTTGTGAATTTTTCTTCTTTCTTGTTTGTGTGTGTGTGTGTGATGTTGCCTTTCACGTTGTTGCCTTTGTCGTGACCTGAGACTGAAGAGTTGCAGCAATTCAAATACTTTGAAAGTTGGGAAAGAAATGTTAGTAGGTGAGGTGAAACCTTTGGTGGGTAAATGCCAAACCCCACATGCTTCAATCATTTTTTTTTTAATTTCCAGTAAAAATTTTGAGTGGATTACACAATTTTTTTAGCTATAGTTCGATTTATTATTCTTTTACTCTGATTTAAAAATTGATAAATACAAGTTATAATTTGGTTAGTTTTATTACAGAAGAGTGTCTTAATAGCTGACAATTTCGGTTAATAAAATGAAGATTGTGTAAAATTTTATAGCTGACAATAAAAGTGTTTAAATTATTCTTTCGTTAAAATTGATATTATTATGTTGATACTTATAGTCGGTGATTTTAGACTTTTATCTGTTTTTTCTATCTCATATTAGTATTTTTTATTTTTCTTAAATTCTTTATCATTTTAGAATGTCAAGAAAATATTTTTTTAATTTTTTTAATCCTACCTTTATTGATTGAGAATAGTTTTTATCAATCTTAATGCTTGCTTGCTTAATATACTCGACCAATAACGCAACTTGTTTTTGTCAAACATACTAATTACTTAATCAGTTGGTCATGTGCTTCATTATGTTACTGATTCATCATTCATCCAAGTTCATTATGTATGAAATCCATTTGCTCGCAAACTAAATGAGCACAGTAACAAATTTACAACATTGCCACAAAATCCTCAAGGGAAAAGGAGGAAAAATTTTATAAACAAAATCAAATAATTCAGACACTTGATCCTACAGTACAACAAGTTTTAAAAAGACAGGTCTAGCCTGAAACCATTTGTTACAAGAGAATTGATCACATATTCTATCTACCACTAAAATCCATCATAATTCTTGAATCCCTTAGAGCTCAACACTTAAAATTTATAACTCCAAAATGCTTTGTATGAAATATCTATAAATAAATAGAAATAAAAAAATTCCGGTTAATAATTAATAATACATAAACAGACAACAAATTTCACATAATAGAAGTACAAATCAATTACAGATGAGGCGAAAACTTTACAATATTTGAGATGAAAAGTCAAGAACAGAATCTATTCTCTTCATACTTCTGGCGCAGAATAACTTCATTAACTATAACAGATAATTTGTTTTCGAAGTCCTGTTCACCTAAGAAAGAAAAGGTAGGAGTAATAATAAGAATTTCAATCTTTAGTTTATTTGAATATTTAAATCCTTTATCTTAATGCCATTGCTTGCATCTGTAAAATGTAATAAACGTATATCATAAATGATAATGTTATTTTATTATTTTGGTCTTTCATTTGACATAATATTAATATACATGTTAGCTGGTAATCTTTTACATGCAGTACTTAGTGTAGTAGAAAAGAAAAAAAAATTGAAAAGGAACTAACAGCATAGTCTAAAAACATTTGAATAAGTCTCTGGATTAGTCAGAATCAGGAACTAACATACATCTGGTGGGAAGAGAAAGCCATTATAACCCAAAATTAGAGTCAACATTTTTTTTAAAAAGTATATAACAACGAACATACAATTTTCCATTAATAGCATGCATCTGAACCTCTGATTAACCAATAACTAGGCTCCAGATAACAATTTTTTTGTTCTTTTGTATATACTATAAATAGTCAATATTGTCCTGATACTCATTTTAGAACACAATATTCCAGTAAAATGGAAACAGACTATTTTTTAAGCCAATTAATCTTTTAAATTTAATTGATTTAGAGATTCTTACCATTCAGTCATTTACATGATAAATCAAACTGCAAGTGAAAAAATTTCAAGGTTCCAACCTCATCGCCTGTGGTTGTAGTCTCACTAGCTTCTCAAGAAGGGTGCCTTATAAGTCTGCTTTAACTTCACTATCAAAATCTTGTTCTCACTTGCGAGGGAAGATAACTGTAGATAAAACAACGTTTTCAGCAGGCTAAATAAAAGCACAACTAAGTTTTTAACCTATTCATCAGTCTATCTTAGCTATGATTTTGAGTTCTAAATACTGAAAGGATCTTAAAAGAGAAAGTGGAAAATTCAAAGGAAAAAAATGCTTGGTCTAGTCAAGCATATACCGTGCTTATGCACATGAACACAAATACATGAAAGTAGTAAAATGACTAAAATCATTCACAAAGATATGGAAAAGTAGGCATGTAAACTATATGATTGATGCAGCCATCCTTACCAAGGCATCCATTTGTTTATAGAGGTGAGGATGTGTATGAATTTTTGTGAAATCTTAGTAATCAAAAAAGATCAAAGAGTGAAGACAAGTGACACACGCTTGAAACAGTATGACAAGGGATTTGAAGGAATTGAGTCCTAGAAGTCTATAAGCATGCTCAGATAGGACAGGTTAGGAAAGATTTATGATTCAATTAACCTGAAATAAATTTTCTCTATCTTAGTAATTACCTGCTGCTTAAGACGCTCTCTCTCAATGGCTAGCTGTTTCAACAATGTTTTCAAGACTTTGGTCTGCTTTCCAATGTCATTTGCCGTTGCCATTTTCGCTTCCTCTTCTCGATGCAGGGAACCCTCCAAGCTTTCTAATCTATTCTTCAAGAAGCTGAGTTCCTCATTTAGCTCAGCGTTAGATTCAGACAATATGATACAATTCTCCTCTGCACTGTCTACCCTATTCTCAGCTTTAGAAACCTTTGACTTAAGATCCTTTATTACATTTTCCATATCTCTAATTGTGGAATACAACATTCTCTGTTTCTCCTGACTAGCTTTAGCAGATGCCACAGTATTCTGCAATTGTAGATTAGATTCTTTTAGCTGCTTCTCGAGCAAATCCACTCTCGTAGATGATCCTCCACCACCTTTCAAAAGAGCCAGCTCTTCAGTGAGTTTTGAATTAGTCTCAGTCAATAACTTACACTTTTCTTCTGAACTATTAGCCCTACTTTCTGCATTAGACACAGATTCTTTCAGTTCACCAATAAGATTTCCCATGTCTCTTACTTCAGAACACATAACATTATACTGCTTTTGATATTCATCAGCACAGGCCTTCACATTCACCAGCTCAAATTCAGATTCTTTTAGCTGCTTCTCAAGTGAAGACACCTTATCACTTAAAGTGAACACATAAGAATTGGCAACAGTTAGTTTATCTTCGGCATCTTTCAGGTTAGCTTTTGCGTTATTTGTCTGACCTAGATGAGAGCCATTTATTTCAGCAGCGCTGCTTTCAATCTTGTCAATAATAATATCTCTAACTTTCAAGTTTTCTAAAACATTTTCAAGCTTGGCTCGAAGCTCAGATTCACGATGACTTAAACCAGTCAAATTGAACTGAGAAATCTGGAGTCTACCCAACAGGCCTTTTGAAATTCCCAACAGAATCTCACGTGCATTGTCTGCCTCAAACCATCTTTCCCAAACATCAATGGCTTCTTCCTCCATGTCAACAAGCTCTTGCTCTAAAAAGAACATCCTTAGTTTTAGAGTTTCCTGAACTTCTCTTGAATGATGGATATTTTTCTCAAGATCTATTTCTCTTGCCAAAGATTTCTCAAGCATTTGCAGAATATATCTTTGTTGCTCAACTGTTTGAAGTGTTAGCCCGGTATTTACATTCAAAAATTTATCATCCTCTTTGACGATTTCACCTGCTTCACAGTTATCTGTGGTCATCGAAAATGCACCAGTAAAATAAAAAGAAACCTTTTATAAAAAAAATGCAGACTTATTCACATAAATTTATTCTTAATCAAGGAACAGAAATTTTGAGCCAGACAGTTCAATGTCCTCCACAGAACTTACTTACTTACTTCCTTCCATTCTTTTTTATTTTTCAATTTTATAATAAAAGTAATCCTAAAGCAAAGTTCTGGCTGCTTTTATAGGATCAATTTCACATGGAAATAGACGAGAAACTCCAGATAATTTAGGACAGAAATAAAAGAACGCCCTTTTTTACAACTTCATGAAAACATAAAATTTGTAAAGAAATGTATTAGAAACTTGGAATATTATGAAAATATTCAATATTATCTAGTTAGTATCTCAGAATATCTACCTCCTAGGGTCAGTTTCCTATTTCCTCAATATCTCTTAAGATTGATTACCATATCTCCTTATTTCATGATTTGTTTCTATTTATTTGGGATCATGATTAGTATAAACAAGGGTTAGTGGTCTAACCTTTCATGAACATACCATCACATCATAGTTAGAATAATTATAAATCATCTTACCTATTACGCCAACAAATTCTCCTAATTACTAAATGGAGAAACTGTTAAATATTTTTTTATATTTTCAAGATATAAATGCATATAGTTGTTCATTTAATACTTAGTTTATAAAGGAGGAGGAGAATTATTAGGAAGATCTGTAGGAGGACATAGCAAAACTCATTTAATATCAAATTCATAGTATTTTATAACTATTCTTTCTACTATCTCCCTCTACACCTAAAACCTGATAATATCAACAAAATAAATAAAATGAGATCCCCAGCATACCGTTTTCTGCCTTCTTAAAAGAAGACAAAGCCCTCACAAAACTAGCTGATTGCATCTTAATTTCATTAAACTGCTCTTCAGACTGCTTCAACTTTTGTTCAGAATCAAGCAACTTGTCTTCCATTGTCATGAAAGCCTCTCCCAAGTGAGTGCAAGAACACACTCTCTCTCTAACTTCAGCAATCCAAGCTTGAAGACTGTCCAAGAATCCTCCCAACTCTCTTACCTCTGAATCCAACACCCCACGTAACAGATCAAATTCCACACCCTTTTCCAAAGAACCAAGCCCCGTGTGATTCTCCTCCAAATCCAAGGACTCAAATTCACTCTCCATGGTTGCAAGATGCATCACAAAAATGCTCAAGTTGGAAACTTTCTCTGAGAAACATGCCAAACTAAAATCCAGCTTTGTAAGTATTGTACTGCAAACAATGCCCAGATCTCCCACTGCATCTCTATTTGATAATGAAACAACACCTTCAAGATCAACATTGACATCACAAGTAGATGATGTAACTGCTTCAAGTTCTGCACTTTCAGTGCTCATTCTAACACCCCACTTACTATAAAATAAAAAATTTAAGATTTTTAGCAGTCACAAAGTGGATCCAATGAATTTGGGTGAAGGGATTGGGAAAAAGAGAAATTGAAACAAAGTTACAGAGTTTAGAATGTGGAGGCAGAATCAGAATCTTCCAAATTACAATGTGTTTTCGGAGAGAATAAGAAATTACATCCGTTGATCAGATCTATAACTTGTATTTCCATTGACAGTTACACTCCCCTTAACGCAACGTTTTGGGTCTCAAGAGTGTAATTAGTTTTTTTTATAACGGTTATTACTTCTTCCGCTTAGACATATGATTCAGTGTTTCAAAATATTTTAAATTTTAATGCTTATAAAATTAATTTTTTAAATTTTCACGTTTTTTAAAAATTTCTTCTATTTAAATATAGAGACTAAAATAGAAAAAATAATTTTATGGGAATCAAAATCAAAATATAATATATTTTGAAGAACAAAATATATATTTAATGCTACTTTTATTTACCGTTATAGTTTTTATTTATATGAGGATTGGTCAAAATATTTATTTAAACCATTTTAGCATGGTTTGCTTTCATTTTTAAGAAGAATTTTTTTTAAGTATTTTGGTAAAAACAACTATAAAAGAATATTTCTTTGCAGTAAAACAATACAATGATTCAATTCTAATAATTAATATAAATTTTGGATCTTTTTTTTTTCAAACTCATTTCTTCACACTTTCTTGTGTTATCTTTGGTTTATTTTGTAGAATTCCTTTAATAGCTTTATAAAAAATAAAAAAAATTGTTAATTTAATTAACAATTTTAAATTTGTCAATAATTTATATTTTTTTTTCAAAATTAGTCTTAAAATTACTGGAACTTATTTCTCTGAATCTCTTTCCACTAATTAATTCATCTTCACTTTATTTATATCAGTAACTTTTTTTTAGATTCACTTTTCTAAACTGAAATTTCAATTTTGAAAATAATAAGCCTCCACTTATTGGTACCTTAATATTTTTTAACAAAAGTCTGGCCAAAAGCATAAATAATATTGCAAAGAAATATTTTTTATTTTTATTTTTTATATTATTGAATATTCATATAAAATGATAAAAAAATAATTTCAACTACTTGTAAAATCACAATAAAATTTTTGACCTAAAGTAAGCATATTAGTTAGTTTTAATTATCAGTAATGTTTAAAAAATATGACACATAGAGAGAGAAATGAATTTGTTTTGTGTTTTTACTAGTACTTGAAATGATTTTTTTATCATTTTATATGAATATTTAATAATATAAAATAAAAAATAAAAAATATTTCCTTACAATATTATTTATGCTTTTGGCCGGACTTTTATTAAAAAATATTAAGGTACCAATCAGTGGAGGCTTATTATTTTCAAAATTGAAATTTCAGGATTAGAAAAGTGAATCTCAAAAAAATTACTGATATAAAAAAAGTGAAGATGAATTAATTAGTGGAAAGAGATTCAGAGAGAAGTAAGTTCCAGTAATTTTAAGACTAAATTTGGAAAAAATATATATAAATTATTGACAAATTTAATTTTAAGATTAATTTTAATTTCTTTTTTCTTAATCATTACTCGAAGTTGAAAGAGAAGAAAATTGTGAAAACCACATGGCCAACCAACCATGCATTGTCCTCTCCTTTTCTCTCCCATGTTCACTGTGTTTAAACCCAAAATGTTAACATTTACTCAATTTTAAATTAGGTTAAATATAAAATAATTCCAACATTAAATTATTTATTTTGTTTTTTACTTTGTTATATGTCCTATTTTTATTTTTTTATAAATATATTTTTTTAATCCATCTTACTAACATAGTTTACTAAATATTTGTCACATCAATTTTTTATTGGATTATATTATTGAGAGACAAGAATAAAAATTTGTAAAAATTTAAGAAATAAAATTAAAAAATTCAGAAACAAAAAAAAAAAGCATTTAAATATGTAGATGAATTTCATATTCAAGCCACTCAAAGTTTATTAGTATCTAGATCATAGTAATATAGAACTTGATTTCTTAATTCAGGTTAATTTGGTCAATATACATTAATGCGGCCTGCATGTTTGTACTGGAAGAATTATAGATGTTAAAAATTGATATAATAAAATTTACTATTTTATATTTATTTGTGTCTTTTTCTTGATATACATTACATGAGTGTATTTAGTGATGAGAAATAGAAAAGAAAGAAAGAAAGGTGAAAAATGTAACAAATAACATAGAGTGATGATAAAAATAGATTCTAATAGAAAAAATGAGACAAAAAGTGATATATATATATATATATATATATATATATATAATATAAACAAAATAAAATTGTGAGAAGGAAATTCAATAACAATAAGTTTGTATAAAAGATAATTAATTAACTTGATAAAAGTTTGACGAAATTAAATGTGTTAATTTTAGAGAGTAATATTATTTTACATTTAATTTAGATATGCACTCTACAAATTAAAAAGTAGTGATGTTATAATTATATAAGGCGTCTTACCTGAATACCCACAATATTAGAATAATATTACTCAATTTTAAATTAACTTAAATATAAAATAGTCTCAACATTTAATTATTTATTTAATTTTTGTCTTATTTTTAATTTTTTTATAAATATATATTTTTTAATCAATCTTCCTAACATAGTTCAATAAAAATTTATCACATTAATTTTTTATTAGATTATATTATTAATAGAGACAACAATAAAAATTTGTAAAAATTTAAGAAATAAGATTAAAAAAATCAGAAACCAAAGAAAACAGTATTTAAACATGTAGATGAATTTTATAATCAAGTTTTTCAAATTTTATTACTATCTAGATCATAGTAAAATTAGACTTGATTTCTTAATTCAGGTTAATTTGGTCGTTATATACTAATGCTTGTGTCATACATATTTATACTTGAGGAATTATAGATGTTAAAGACTGATATAATAAAATTTATATTTTTATTTTTGTCTGTGTCTTTCTCTTGATATACATCACACTAGTGTATTTAGTCATGAAAAACAGCAAAAAAAAGAAAGAGAAGTGAAAAATGTAATAAATAACATAGAGTGATGATAAAAGTAAATTCTAAGTGAAAAAATGAGGTAAAAAGTATATATATATAATTGTGACAAGAAAATTCAATTACGATAAATTTGTATAAAAGGTAAGTATTTAATCTGATAAAAGTTTGACTAAATTAAATGTGTTAATTTTAGAAAGTAATATTATTTTGCACTCAATTTGGATATGCACTCCACAGATTAAAAAGTTGTGATGTTATAATTATATAAGGTGTCTTACCTAAATATCCAAAACATTAGAATAATATTACTCAATTTTAAATTAGCTTAAATATAAAATAGTCACAACTTTTAATTACTTATTTTGTTTTTTTCTTATTTTTAATTTTCTTATAAATATATATTTTTTAATCCGTCTTCTTAAAAGAGTTCAATAAAAATTTATCACATCAATTTTTTATTGGATTATATTATTGATAGAGACAAGAATAAAAATTTGTAAAAATTTAAGAAATAAGATTAAAAAAATCATAAACCAAAGAAAAAACCACTTAAACATGTAGATGAATTTTATATTCAAGCCTTTCAAATTTTATTAGTATCTAAATCATAGTAATATGGAACTTGATTTCTTAATTCAAGTTAATTTGGTCGTTATATTCTAATGCTTGTGTCATGCATATTTGTGCTGAAAGAATTAAAGACTCATATAATAAAATTTATATTTGTATCTTTGCTTGTGTCTTTTTTTTTTATATACATCAGACTAGTGTATTTAGTGATGAAAAACAGTAAAGAAAGAAAGAGAAGTGAAAAATATAACAAATAACATAGAGTGATGATAAAAATAAATTCTAAGTGAAAAAATGAGGCAAAAAGTGATACACATATATATGGTTGAATATATATATATATATATATATATATATGTATATATATAATTGTGACAAGAAAATTTAATTACGATAAATTTGTATAAAAGGTAATTAATTAACTTGATAAAAGTTTGACTAAATTAAATGTGTTCATATTAGAAAGTAATATTATTTATGCACTCTACAAATTAAAAAGTGGTGATGTTATAATTATATAAAATGTATTACCTGAATACCCAAAATATTAAAAATATTACTCAATTTTAAATTAGCATAAATATAAAATAATCCTGACATTTAATTACTTATTTTGTTTTTTTGTCATATTTTTAATTTTTTTATAAATATATATTTTTTAATCCGTTTTCCTAAAATAATATTAAAATAACATTACTCAATTTTAAATTAGCTTAAATATAAAATAGTCCCAATATTTAATTACTTATTTTGTTTTTGGTCTGATTTTTAATTTTTTTATAAATATATATTTTTTAATCCGTCTTCCTAAAACAATTCAATCCAAATTTATCACATCAATTTTTTATTAGATTATATTATTGATAGGGACAAGAATAAAAATTTGTAAAAATTTAAGAAATAAGATTAAAAAAATCAGAAACTAAAGAAAAAAGCATTTAAACATGTAGATGAATTTTATATTCAAACCTTTCAAATTTTATTAGTATCTAAATCATAGTCATATGAGACTTGATTTCCTAATTTAGGTTAATTTAGTCGTTATATTCTAATGCTTGTGTCAGGCATATTTGTGTTGAAGGAATTAAAGACTGATATAATAAAATTTACATTTTTATTTTTGTTTGTGTCTTTCTCTTGATATATATCACATTAGTGTATTTAGTGATAAAAAATAGTAAAGAAAGAGAGAGAAGTGAAAAATGTAATAAATAACATAGTGTAATGATAAAAATAAATTCTAAGTGAAAAAATGAGAAAAAAAAATAATGTGCATATATATGGTTGAATATATATATATATATATATATATATATATATATATATATATATATAATTGTGACAAGAAAATCCAATTACGATAAATTTGTATAAAAGGTAATTAATTAACTTGATAAAAGTTTTACTAAACTAAAAGTGTTAATTTTAAAGAGTAATATTATTTTGCACTCAATTTGAATATATACTCTACAAATTAAAAAGTAGTGATGTTATAATTATA